AAGCTGTTTGGGGGAAGAATCAGTTTTGTGTTGTGTGTTTCCTTGACTGATGAAGCCTTATGGATAGAAGGTGAAACATTTCAGCACAAAAACAGAAACTGTCCAGATGACCTGACTGGAAATTGTTGGATTGTATACCTGGATTATGAAGCATGGACTTCTTTTTTTTTTTTGATTCCTTTAGAAGAAGTTTATTCAGATTTTTACTCTTGTTTCTACATTTGTGCTTCTCCTACTGTTTCAAGTCAAAATGTTTGCGGTGAAGCAGGTTGCTTTTGTTCACAATATGAAAATCATCACAATTTTGATCGTTCTAAACACACATTTCAGCTGACTTACTATCATTACGATTATTTTTAAATCCGTTATCAACTTACAGATAAATACTTGACTCGTTTCCTCCGATATCTGGGGACTGCAGCTTTTGCACCAGTATGATGATAATTCCAACGAAGAGGACAAAATTAATCTGACAACAAACACAGATGTAACATGTGATCAGTCTGCACAGAACATAAGTTTCATGCTCACATTTTGCTCCCTGCTGACCAATGATTGAGCTCTCCTTCTTTTCGGAAGTTAGAGGTCATTTCTGTGAGTTATTTTACTTTGTATGTCTTTGTTATACATTTTAAATAACTTTAAGCATCAATCTAATCTCTTTTCTTGCACTTTCTCAGTTAATTAAAATATCTACCTCCCAAAAATGAATAAACATACCATAATAGAGGCCACAACAGGTCCTTTAATCACCCACCAGAGGGCAGTGTGCTCATTTGTGTCCCAGCATCTAGAGGAGGCCATGAACAGCAAGTTTTAATAATCCTTCAACACAGCTCCTCTCATAAAATTACACATAAATAATACAAGAATGTTTCTTTTTTTTTTTTCAAAATGAAACAAGAAATAGGTACGTGCAAAGAATAAATGTGAATAAAACCCAATCAAAAAACATGTATTTGTTGTTTTTGTGTCTTTTATTAACACAACCTGGAAAAATTAAGGATGGACACAGAATGAAGTACTGGAAAAAGTTGCAACTAATAGACTTTAAATGCTTTATCAGTAACACGACATCACGTAAATTAAACCATTTTATCAGGACAGCATGCATGCAATGTTAAACAATAAACGTGTAGACATTTATAATCAGATTAAAGCTGATATTCTGTGTTGATAATTTGAGTCTGAAGTACTGCAACAGCAACTGAAACAGTTCCGTTTGTATGGATTTGAAAAGCACAACACTTGTTTTAAATTAATGAGGGGAAAAAGAATAAAAACTCAAGTAAAGCCAAAGTTTTTTCAAGTTGGGATGAACAGTTGATACGTACCCAGTGTCGTGAAAGTGGAGCCTCAAAACTGCCCAGACAGTCACGCAAATGGTGGGAGTTCCTGTATCCAACAATCACAGGATAATTATATATTATATATATATATTATTTAATTATAATATTCAGTTTATGATGAAATTATTAGGTTGGTGATAAGAAAAGTAAATTCTAAATTTAGAACATGCTCCTATTGTAGTTGGATGGTGGACCAACTAAAACGAACAAAACAAACTACCGTATTTTTCAGATTATAAGGCGCACTTAAAATACTTACATTTTCTCAAAAATTGACAGTGAGCTTTATAATCCGGTGCGCCTTATGTATTAATTCTCGTTGTGCTTACTAACTGATATTTATTTTTATGTGGTACAACTGAACAATGTTGAGAGTTATTGTGAATGAGATGAATAAAGTTTGACTTATCTGTTTTGTTTCGCTTAATGCGCCTTATAGTCTGAAAAATACGGTGTGTAGTTTTACTTCATATGACAAAACCAGCTTGAAAAAAATGTGCATTTATGTGAATTATTCATCAGAGTACAAACTGAATTTTCTTTTAAACTAAACCCAAAACCTCAGAGAGAAGCACTGCGACTTTATGAACTTATAATAGAATTTTGAAAAAAGAAAACAACTGAAATGAGCTCAAACGAACGTGGTCTTAACTTTGCATCGTTCTGGATAACCAGCCGTGAAGCTCGACTCACCCCAGCCTACGATGGTGTACCAGTAGAAATATCGCCTCTCGGGAAAGAAGGTCTCCACCAGCAGAGTGAAGAGATACAAGCCTTCAATGAAGAGCCAGAAATAGTTGGACATGACGCAGTAATGGAAGAAAATCATTACTGCTTTACACGCCACCTGCACGAAGACACACACGGGAGGAGAACGTTTTATTTGTCATTCCAGATCTGTCAGACTGCTCTGTTTTCGTCTTCCCTTGAGTTATTAAAGAAGACAGTCTGTAATATTATGTAATGTTCCAACAAGGTGAGCATCTATCACTCCATTTGTCATGCTTAGGGCAAGTTCTTCAACGAAATGAGAGTTTTGAGCATACAACATCCTAATAAAAGCCGAACAAACACATTTATTTGGAAAATGCTTTTTGTTTGGTGTCTGACTCCAGTTTAAATGGTTGTGGTTACACCGCGATGTCGGCTGGGTTTTTCTCCCAGGCTTCACACGCATCCGTTAGTGTGTGCAAATGAATGCTTTGCTGCACCTACAATTCCTGTTTGGTTCATTTGTAAGTTGGAAATAATAAAAAAATAATCAACTCAAAATACCCCCTAGATATAATATTCCACCAAAAGTGGTGAAGGCTGCAGTAAATGATGTTTTACTTCAGTGTCAGAGAATTTTTGGTCAAATGTTTTGGATGTTTTTATGACTATGAGTGATAATCTTTTCTCTGCCCATGAACCATATGTTTGGGTTAGCAGAGAGAAGTGTGTAGTGAACCAGATAACCTCAAATATACCAGATGGACAGAGACTGTTATTTTCATTGATCTGAATAAGTCTGAACCATCTGATGAACTTTCTTTCTTGAATTAATCAAGCAGAAAAGACAATCCTCTATAATCATTACTGTCTTACAAATGTTTTGATAATCAAATTGTGTTAGTTCACTCAATGCTTTACAGGTTGAAAAGAACTACTAATTTTTATTTTTACATAAACAGTAAGTAATGATTTTTGTTCCTCATTCAGAGAAGAAATCACCTGAATATGCCTTTCTTGATTTTCTGTCTGAAATGAGCAAGCTGTCGTAAGTATGTTAAAGGTTGGTTTTCGGTCAACTAAAATGTTTACCGAGAAAAATGTCATGTTTTACTATTTGAAAAGATTACAAAGTGTGAGACTCCACGAAGTCTGCTGTTGCTGCAATAATCTTTTCTGTATGTTGTAAACAATCCTTGACTTATGATAACATCTTACGTCACAAATCCACTCCTCTTTCTGGTCCTTCCACGAATCAGAAAGCTCTAAATTGAACAGGAAGTCGACCCAAATAAAATGTGGCAACTTCTCAGTTCATAGTTTTAGAGAAGAGAAGAATAGAGTAGAGAAGGAATAGAGAATTATGGATTCCAGAATTCCAAGAGAATGAGAGTTCTGAGAGATGTTGGAATGAGAGCTGACAACAGGTCCGATAGTCCAACAGAATGAGCAGATTGAGAGTGCAGCCGGTTATGAAGAGTTTGGAGTTATGAAGAACCAGGAACGTTTGGGATTATAATTCTGTTTTGAGCTAATCAACGCACGACTTTCTGAAGGTTTGGTAGCTCTCGACGGAGACGCTGAAACGAGTCAGAAAGGAACTACATCCAGCGCTGATTCATCGTCAACAGGTAGATGGTTCTATTTTGACCAAGTGTACCGTGAGAAGCTGAGGATCTGACGAAGCGTGCAATTTCTGGTTAAACAGATTAAACTTCCCTCACACAGTTCTCTGTAAGATAATCTCCTTTCACTCTAAAACCCACCTCTCTCTCATAAATCAGTACAGATATTTTAGAAATGTCTGAAGCAAAGTCCTCAAATCACCGCCGAGTGATTTGAAGTTCATTTTCTGTGAAACTGTCTGTTATTATTTTCATATTTTGCCAAATTAATGTAAATGTTTGATGTTAAACTTTGATTTTGAAAATAAATGATTCCATTCATTTGATGGGTCAAAGATAAATAACGTCTCTCGTTCACATTTCTGTTAAATTCAATGCACGACATTTACAGTCAGAAAAATGAAGAACTCGTGAAAAGTATGCATAAATATATATCCATATATTTGTCATACAACAAGTGACACGTACCTCACGTGTCTCACTACAACAGTTTGTAAAACTGGTGGCCTCGTACGTTTCATGAATGACTGTTAATTCGTGTGTAAGATTGATTTTACGTGTTGGCATGTAGAAAAAGTAACAGCTGACGAGCTGTGAATGTTTATGCAGCGGCTGAGCTGCGCGCTTGGAGCTGCACCTTTCAAGCAAACGCTGCATGTATAAGCGTTGACCTGGCAATGTTTTAAAAGCTGAAATTGTGTCATAAGTCTTGTGTAAGCTGAAATGGTACGTCTGTTATGTGTAACTAAGAGCTAATGAGCTGTGGAAGACGTTATTCTGTCTAAAAAGTACGAGGTTCTGCTTTAAGACCCGGCTGTGACCAGTTCGGTTCTGTTCAGTTTGAACGAGTATTTTGAATAGATGGATAAACGTTTTAAAAGCTGAGTGCCATCTCAGAACACAGTTAGAAGTTGTTTCGTTACAATTTTTAACAGAAAAAGTGCATTTTGATGGTTTAAAAGACGAAAAGTTGACGAACTATTTCAAGCTAAACCTAACTTGCTAGGTAGAGAAAACGCTTCCTGATTGGTTGAATTCGCTGTTGTGGAGCGCTTTCATTGGTTGAAGGTTTGACTGACGTGGCTACGTCACTTCCTCTCACCCTACGCTGCTGCCATTGGTGATTTCAGTCACGTGACCCGGATATGAAATTCATTTTCATAGGGAAATAAAATCTGCTTTTTAAAGCTAAAAAGCGCCTTTTAAAGTGATTCTGAAACGCTGGTCAAGTGCTTCGAAGCTGCTTGCTGAAATTCTGCTACGTTAGAGTTTAAAATTCGCCAAAAAACGATGTTTTTAAACAAAGCTAGCGATGCTAATTTTAAGCTAACAAGCTAACGACCGGAGCTTAAAACTATGCCTAAAATCACTAAAGGAACCTGAAATATTGTCCCAAAACACTCATGTTCAAGCTATAAAGTCTGATTGCAAAAACTTTTGCCACGTTTGTGTAAAAAATCCGTTCAGAAATGTTGATTTTGACCGAGTTTAG